TGCTGAAAAGGACGATCACTAGCCTAGCCAATATGAATTCCACTTTCTCTTAAAATACTAGGTTATTTTAAGAGAAAGTGGAATTCATATTGGCTAGGCTAGTGATCGTGAAATCGTGAACTCTTGATATGAACTTACCTATCCACACTGATCACACACAATGTCATAATTGATGCTGTACAGCACATGACATCCATCCCAACAAAGATGTTGCAGAAAACCTCCCCAAACAGCCAGACGCCTCCCGTCAGGTCAGTCACGATGGCAAAGGGCATCACGGCCACTGCCACAGACAGATCAGCTATGGCCAGAGATACTCATTGTCTCTTTTACTTAGTGGAGAAGAGGAGAGAAGTTTCCACAGCTTAGCAGAGCTGCACACACTTATATGTTACAAAAACTAAAAAAGAGAGATAAGAACATGTTTGTTTGGAAACCAGTTACAATTTTAAAGTTAAATTTGTATTTAAATTTTAAGAATGAAATCATTTACCTGTTGAGAGTGTGTTGACAGTCTGTAGTTGGATCACTGAACTCCAGAAAATCAGTAATAAGGACCAAGCAGGGTGTTTCAACATGCAGTTTCAACTTTGTCAAAGAGCACCAAAATTGCATACACACCAGGACGCAGCTTCAAAGTCTCTAGTTCATCAAGCCTCAAATGACATGGAAGCATTTTTAATGCTCAGTTTATTTATTTAGGGTTACTCTAGTGTTTTTGTCTTTCATTTTTACAAAAATTAATCAATTGAATACCCCATATGCTTTTCAATTTTCATAAAAAATGTGAATAAACATTATGCAATGCTTAACAGACTAGAAGCTCATGTATACTTTCAATTATCAAGGAGACATTTTGACATTTTAGTAAATAGTTTTAGTTGATATTTTATAAGGTTTGGAGTCAAAAATACAATTAAATGCTTCTTTTCTCTATATATGTGCGTTGGAGAAAAATCATAAATATTATTTTGCAATAGCTCAGGTACAGGTAGATTTTAACAGTTATTTTTTATGATTATTTATTAGAATTTTTGTTTATTTATTTTTTATTAATTGTTTGTATTTGTATATTTTTAAATTAATATCAGGTTGGGCTGGTTTTAACAGGTTTTATTGGGGCATGTTGTCGCAATTTTTTCAGTGAATATTACTTACGAGTATTTATTTAGATTATTAATACATTTCTTATATTTTTATCGTTACAATAATTTTTTTTCTGTAATTTCTATATAGATTTTATATATAAAAGATAAAAATTTTATATATATTTATACATAATAGAATTTTGTTGCATATTATTTTCACACCATAACTGCAACTTATGCATATAACTACAACTATGCATATATTCTTCACGACACACACCGCAATCACAACCAGCGTGTTGCCCATCACAGTGACCGCGGTGATGGTGCTGAGCATCATCCCAATAATCACTGTCTTAGTCAAGTCCAAGTCCAGGGTCTGCTGCTCCCCACACGACTCATTACTTTTGGGCTCCGCTGTGGTTACTACGGTGGGGGAAAATTCAGTTGTCCCATTGAGAAAGGCGATTTCGGTCTCGCTGGAAGCCCAAACCAGTTCAGCAGCGCCATGTGTCGTGAACATCACTGTATCGATATTTTGAGCGCGAGTAATCCTTCCGCGCGCCTGAAGTGGACAGTCAACCTCATGGTGCCTACGACCTCTGAGTCCGGCAACAACCAAATACACGAAAAACCCGCTCACGAAGTCAACGAAGAGACGAGAAACACACACTGAACTCTCTCTCAGCCTCGTTCCGCTGAGAAAACACGAGCTATAAGTAGTTTTGAGAGCCGCACTGTGAGTGAACCTGCGAGTAACCCTGATAGACGCTAAAAATATGCTTTCAGCCCACGCCACTCAAACATAATGTATTGTTTGAAGTATATGGATATTGAGTTACTTTATGGTGACTTTATTCATATAGAAGTCATTAAGCAACATTCTAAACGAATATTCTGGTTCTGGTTTCTGATTGGTCAATACCGCGCTCGAATCCTGTTTAACAGCGTCGATATCACTACACAACTAGTTTTTGTTGCATAGCAACGTTCTGTCAGCTCAGGGGTTTTGTTTTGGAGCGGAATTATTTCACTTTAGCTATTAATATTCTATTTTAAATCTAGCTATTATTTTAAATTGTATCAAAATATTTACAGTAGTAATAATAATAATCAGAATAATAATTCAGGCAGAGCGAGTTGTCTAGTTTTAATGCATTCAGTCATGACCAATCCAGTTCCAAAAGACTCTGGTAATGAAGCACTCTCACACCTTTCTCAATGTGTTGCATATAAAATTCATAATTATCAGTTACGTATGTTACAGCATGATATCACATTTCAGAGGGGATATTCAGATATATTTTGTAGCCTAAGCAAACACTCATTTTGCTCATATTATATGTTCATGCAAAAAAATCATAGCGCCCTCTCTGTGCAGTAGAATGTCGCCCTCTGCTGATGAATATCGGCTTCAATAACTTTCCATAGGATAGCCTACATCAAATTAGCTATATTGGAGATATGCAACCTATCTGTAGATAGTCACCACTTCATACACTGCAATCTTTACCGCTTTAAACGTATTCTACTGTCAATTTAGCGCTCTCTTTATTATAAATTTATATTTTAAACGTACTTTGTCATATTTATACCATCTTTATGGCTACTGTGTGTGTTGTTGAATAAACAAAATTATTCACCGTTTTGATTCAGATTTATAGCCTAAAGAAAAGAAAACAATAGGTTTGACATAAAGCCTAAATGAGAATATTTTCCCCATACTCAGGTGATTAAGGGGTTACATTTTAAGTCTGTATTCACTTATACATGCTGTGTGTGGTGTCTAAACAATTAAAAAAAAACTTTTTAAAAGTCAGCAATTAAATAATCGAACGTTTCTTTATTTGACCACTGGGTGACAATGCTGGATTACTGTTTATTAATTCTCTCCTATTCATAATTCTAACCTGCTCCTAGTGTCTCTATACTGTCTGGATATAAAAAAGGTCCTCTAACTCTAGCACTTTCTATTCTATTTTAATTCTACTTTATCTATATTTATCTTCTTTTTTGTTTTATTTTTTATAAAAAAACAACAACAACAAAAAACTAACAAACACTAGCTTCCTATTTTTTCTATTCTATCTACTTGTTAGCTTTGGATAAAAGCGTCTGCTAAATGACTAAATAAATAAAATAAAATAATATACACGTCATCCAGATAAACGGATTATCCTAGCGGATAATTGTATAGCGATGCATATAAATGACTTCATAAAGCGTTAGATGTGTGTTTAAAACTACACTACCCACAAATACATGTGCTGAGCAGATGCCGCCATGTTATAGGAAATCCGTTTGCACTATGGTATGGACAAGTTTAATCCGCAAGAAGGGAGTCAGGGCGACTCAGCGGATCGAACAAGAAAGGAGAAAGACAAACCAGCGAGACATAAAATTTGAGCGTTACATTAAACACGAACCAGAATACGCATTTATTATACACAAGCCTCTGTGGTCGCTTGACAAAAACAAGCAACATCTGGTGCAGAGCCTTTTTATTGTCGCTTGCCGCTCACTCCGCCACCCCTCCTTCATAGAGATGAAGTCTGAGTCATTTTTTAGATTCGGTTCTTTTGAACAGTTCGTTTTAAAGAACCATTTCAACAACCAATTTTTGATTATTTTACGTCATTACGTATTGCGTCACCTGCGTGGCATATAACACGTTAAGCCATTTGTAGACACATATTGCAATTACTACGATTTTTGTTATGAGTTTTAATAAAAAAGTTTTTAATGTGTCCAGATTAATTGAAGTGCCTTACGCATTTCCAGTTCTTTCGATTAGGAATAGTTAAAATGTTATTAGTACATGATTTAAATCAACGCACTCATCAGTTCTTGGCTCATTGTGAACAGGACACGTCCAAAAGAGACGGTTCTTGGTTCAGTGAGTCGGTTGACTCGAGAACCGATTCAGTCCTTTTCGTCAACGAACCGTTCAGACAGGAATTACGAACAGGTTCAAACGATTCCCTAAAAAAGATCCGACTCAAGCGAACGATTCGTTCACGAGTCGGACATCGCTACTCCCTCAGAGAAATTGACAGCAGCTGGGTCGCCTGTGTGAGCAAACCCGAAGGACAGACACGGCAGAAAATAAAACTCTGCCGTTACAGTGGGCTCCCCCTTCCCCTTTCCCCCACCGTTTGAGCGTACATATCAACAAACCGACCCCGACGAGCGCTCTTTCTCCGTTTCCCCGCTCTTACAGCGGAGCGGTCAGGACTTTTCTTCCTCGCGAACTGAAACGTCAGTAGCTTAGCCGAGCTAGCGGGCTAACGCGACTAGCTGGGTTCAGCTACAAGGAGGAATTACAATTGTTCCACCGAGACACTGAAGGATGTCGGGGAAGGAGCAGAATAAACAATCCACCACCGAACGGCTCGTCAAAGGTACGTTTTCTATGTGAAACAGCACGTTTTTATTCCGTTCGTCTGGTTGTGTGTTAGCTAACCCGCACTGGTAGCTGATGGGTGACATTCAGTTTTTGTGTAATATAAATATAAGCAAGTCAGGACATCTGTTTTGCTGACTGAGTTTTGGATAACTTAAAAAGTCTAATGACACACATGTTGATGGTTAATTTGACAGGTCGGCTCAGGCTGCATGGGATGAATTGGCATGAATTAAATTAGATCAATGAAGTTTTAAGCTCTAGTGTGCAAACATTGCGTAGAAGCAAAGCTGTCATGGTGAATTAGACCATTATAGGGATATTAGTGTGAATGCATGATACTCAAAGTGGTCTGAATATGCAAAACCCCTGGGATTCATGAAACTGAAACTGCCAAAGCTGTCAAGTACGAAAAATAAACATTTGATTTTGCATTGCAGGTGTTTTTCTGTTACTATAGGAGCATATATTACTATAGGACTATACATATAATCTTAAAATGAGAGACTGAGAATGGGAATATATATTTTTATGTAAACTGATTTTGGTGGGCTTAACGGCTATAGTTAATATACATAATATACAATTTTGTAGTTATTTTTAAATTTTATATGTAATATTTTAAAATAGAAAATGTATGCATTTGTGTGTGTATTATTAATTTAAAACATTAACTTGAATCAGATTTCGAAATTTGGCTGGCTTTATGCAAGCGTATTTCAGAAATCCCGTAGGTTTACATTCATCATCATTGCACAACAATTAATTCACTGTAGTACATTTGCTTTCATCCTTTTTCTTCCTCCTCCTTTAGGGCAACATCAGTGAGAACTGTGTCACTTCAGCTTTACTCTTTTGTCTGAGGTAGAACAAAACTAATAGAAGTAATCCATGTGATCCCAATTAACCTCGTACTTATAATCCTATTTTAGACACACAAAAAGATTGACCCTTGGTTAGGTGATGCATTTGTTGCATTTAAGCATCAACTCCTTATCAAGGGCTCGTGGGAGTTTTTTATGTCAAAGAGGTGAGACGCAGTAGAGTACTACAACTAATTGGATCACTAGGTCTGTGGCTTCATTGGTATAGAGGCATCCGGGGAACTTTGGCTTGTTTTTGATTAAAACTAGTGTGTCCGCTGACATATATAGTGTGCTCTTTCCTCTCAGTCCCTTATGTGCTGCTCTGTCAGCTCGCTGTGTTTTGGCTGATCGAGCTCAATTAGACAGTCTCTGTAATGAGCTGATAGCACTGGGCTCTTTAGTAGTCTAGTTCTGCATCCATAATGACTTGCATCTCCATTCCCAAGTCAGACCATTCAGCTATCTAAATCGCTACAGACAAAAAAACCCTCCTCATTAAAAAGAGCCGACTCTCTTTCTGTCTAGAATCCCTGTTCTTCTTTTTTGCAGGAACAGGAGCATTTCAGCTCCAAATTGGTTCCAGGTTTCACTGAATGCCTCCTTTCAGTTTAAGCACTCCAACACCTGGATTTTACGCCACACGTATGCGTAATCGCAGGCTGTCTGAAATTTTTTTTTGTGGGATTTGTTTTGTAAGCCACGATGGACAGACATCTGCATGGAGAGAGGTTTGAACTGGGGAATTATAGTCAGTTATATGCAGTTTATTTATATAGCGCTTGACACAATAGAGATTGTTCAAAGCAGCTTCACAGTATTAAACAAGGAAGTAACAGAATCAGTGATGCCAACTTCATCACATATGGGGCAATTACAAAGAATCAGGACAGTGGAGAGGGAATATTGTCTGATGCAAGTATTAATTGTAGATTGTTAGCACCTTGAAAGCGCTACTACCCAGTGACCAATCAGTGTCGTGCACCAGCATTCTTCTACCACGTCTGCGATAATTCTGTCTTAGCATATTTTCTGGCTGATGAGAGATGAATTCAGTCGACTCAAGTGTTAAAAAATGAAAAAAGCTTGGTGAGAGCATGCCGGCCTGTCCTTTCGTCCATTGTGTTTGGAAGGTAAAATGACTAAAGCTTGTGTTTAAAATGACTATAAGCTCTGCGAGAATGAACTCCAGCATGATTGAAGAGCTGAGTGGGAGTTGAGGTTCTCGCCAAGGCCGCGTCTTGATGAGTCCTCCCACAGTTAAAGCACGGAGCGTGGGGAATCAAGGATCGCAGTGGCACTTTTCTACTCCGCATTCATCAGCCGAGCCGTGCTTGGAACAATGTGACGGAGGCGGAGGAAAGATGAGGTTAAGTGCCTTTAAAAGCTTTCATTAGTTGCTAGACATTTCCACGCAACTCTTTTCTCACTTTCCCCTGCTGAGAACGGCGGATAGTAAGGTGGTTGTTGTGTTGTGCATTTAAACATGGGTCAACAGTCAGTTGAAAGCTTGAAAGGTTAGCATGAAAGAGCAGTTCAAGCTGGGTTGCTGTCTCTGGCTTTTTTATTTTATTTTTTTTGGAGGGGTTAACATCAACACCCTGCCCATCTTGAAATCGTATCACCATCTAATGCACTTCATCTGGAAATGAGCGAGTTATGCAGCTGATGCTATAAAGTTTTGGACCCCTGTCAGGCTGATGGTGAATTTGATGTTTTGGCTTATTTACAGATAGAAACTAGAGCTTTCACGGTCAGCGTCACCCTGCTTGTGTAATTATTCTGTCCTCATGCATGATTAACGGACCTCAGGCCCTGTCTCTCACCCTTTCACCACGGCTTTTCTCTCTAGGATCGCTCGTACCGCCCAAGATAGCTCTCGTCATCCTTGCTGAGAACCTCAAAGTCCATGTGTTTTCTTACCTACCCAAAAAAAAACAGTTAGTGTGATAAAACCACAGATCAGGCCGAATACAGGAAGTTACGCCTTTTCTAGCTTCCTTATTAATATACATGCGGTCTGGTCCAGAAGTCTCTTAAAGGGATAGTCCGCCCAATAATTCTGTCATTTACTGCAGAAAAAATATATTTTGTAAAATATTTATACTATACTGATAATATAACTGTTTTGTCCATACAATACAAGTCAGTGGGGTCCAAACCAACCACATCAGACCCCAGTGACTCCCACTGAATGGTCAAGCAAACTTGGAGACATTTTTCAAAATGTTCCTTCCTTTGCGTTTCACAGTAGCAAAGGTTTAGAATCATATGCAGGTTATCCTTATAAGATTACAAAAACCAACAAATGTATATTTGAAGTACTCCTGTTGGCAGAGAATGAGTTTGCATATTAAATAAGCCCGTCTCAGCAACATTTCCAGTTTTTGTTGTTGTTCAATTTTTTTGTTGTCAGCGACTCGGAGCACTTTTCATACCCTTTTTTCTGGCTGAAGAACATATAAATTTTGGCCATATCGTCCAGCCCTAATTTGAAGGCATTTAGATCTTTAATGGTTGGACAGCTATGCAGTGAACAACTCCTTTTAACTGGGCCTTCATTGGGTTGGGTTTTGACATCATCAAGGGCCACAAGTGTAGTACAGTAGCCTCACTGCTAGGTAAATACGTATTTTTGGTACTTTGATAGTAAAATCCCCCTCCCGCCCTGAGGGCTTCATTTTCACATGCAAATGCGCCACACTGAGAGGTTACACATTTTCTCTGCCATCGCCACAGAAGGGTGAACTCAACCCTCCAGCCAGATAATAGCCCTGTTACAGCTTTAGATAAAACAGGCAAATGAGCAGGTGTTCTTCCTTCATTCTGTCAGGCATGAAAGATTCGTTGTTTTTCTCTTCCTCCTACTGGTATGCAACAAGAACAACACCCTCTAATGGTTTCTGCCTGAACAGAATCCAAAATCATCAAAAATCGGTTGGTTTTGTAAACCCAAACCGATTCTTTGCTCCTAATTCCACCATTGGAGTCCCTGGAAGGTTCCTAGTCATCTGAGCTCGAAGCTTTATTGTGGCCTATCATGCCTGTGGTCCCAGCGCTGAAAGCCATGGCCGTCGGCCTGACCCACATTCTTCTGGAGAGCGAGCTTTGCCAACCTGGCCTGTGACCCTGGCGGAGAGGATTCCATACCGACCCCACCCTGACTTCAGGACGTAACTTCCCAACTCCTCTTAGACTGGTTTAAATGTTGTGGAATTCCTGCAACTGAAAATAGCTCGAGGCTCAGGGGGTTGCAGAGCGGTTCTAGCAGGCATTTGGTTGCATGCTGCCCGCCTCAGCGCTCACCCGTGCACATGGTGTCTGAATGTAAAATCCCAACCCCCAGGTTGTTGAGGGTTTATTTAAGCTGTC